AAAATTGTATTCAAAATTGAATACTGTGCTATAAAGGAGATATTTTCATATGTTTTAGTTGGAAACATAAATCAACAATACTGCGTAGTGACAATGAGTGTAAATGACATTAACTAGCCCAACCACAGTGGCTCATACCTGCAGTCCCAGCACTTTGGGAGACTGAAAATAAAACTTTTTAAATAAAAATTAGCTGGAGTGGGTGGTGAATGCCTATAGTCCCAGCTATTCAGGAAGCTGAGAAAGAAGGATCCCTTGAGCACAGGAGTTAGAGACTGCAGTGAGCCATAATGGTGCCTGGGCTCCAGAAAAGACCCTATATCTCAAAAATAAATAAATAAATAAATAAAAAGAAAGATATCAACTAATCAAAATACCAGCATTCTTTGTCACAATAATTATCATTTGAGGGAATCTATTTTCAGATAGTTACTTGAAATACGTATGGAGAAGGCAAAAACTACTTTATGAAAAAGTATATTAGTGAAGAATTATTTATAATGGCAAAATTCTGGAATAACTGAAGTGTTCAACAATAGAGACAATAACCTTGGAATATCAACTTAATGAATTTGATTAATTGTATAAAAACACATGTATAAATAATTTGTAATATGAAAACATTTATGCTTCAGTGACAAATGAAAAAATAGGACGCAGAGTTTATTTATGGAGATCATAACCAAAAGTATCTATACAAATTATAAGCTACGCGAGAGGAAAAAAAGGACTGGAAATAAAAATACCGCAAGATCACCAATGTTTAGATAACCAGAAAATCAAAACTATCAATAAATAATTTTTTCTACTTTTCTTTATTTTCTAAGTGCCTATAAATAACAGGCATTAATTGTGTTCTTTGAAGAAATAATGAGAGCAGCCTCTCTTGCCTTACCTTGATTTTCACATAATCAACATCCTCCAAGAAGAAACCACCTCAGCAAATGAGAGGGGCTCATTTTCTCCAATTGCTTTATCAGGAAAAAAATATATATCCAAATGAAGATGCTGGGGCAATTGCAGAAAGTAGGAACTCTCCCTCCCCATTGGGCCTAAAAGTAAAACATAGCCTTTTAATACGAAAGTATGAAATCATTGAACAGAAACTCCGGGCATTTGTAAAAGTTCAAAGGCCCCAAGGAATAGAAGATAGATGGGCTTTAAATCATCACAATACTGTTTCATAGGCTAATAACAAATCATAAATGATTTTGGAGTCCAAAAATTTTGCTGCTTTATAGACCTTGGCTGTAATTTGAACAGAACTTAGATGAGTTTCTCCTGAAAGTTCAGACTCTTAAAATGTTTATGAACGTGTTCCAGTTCAATTCAAGAAGCATTTATTAGATAGTTTGAAAACAACACTTGAAGTGCTGAAGAGAAGTGAGATGTTATAAACTCACACTGTGGGTACAATTCTCCCTGAGCAACCAGGGCAGAACCAGGCATCCAGAGAGCCAGGAGTGGCCCCATCAGCACAGTATCTAACCCAGTGCAGCAAAGAGGAGGCAGAGGACTGTTTTCAGAATATGAGAAAGAGGAGTAGAAATAGTGTAAGCTTAACATATTTCACTTTTGATCATTAAAAAAAAAAAATGGCATTTGGCCATCTCTTGAAAAAAAGTTGATGTTCTCTGCTTAAAGAGAAGCAGAGATAGACTCCTGTGTTTTGACAACACAGATTAAAGCTTTACTTGTTTTCCTTGGCACCCTAAAGTGAAGAAAAGCTAGGCTTTCTGCAGTTTTCCATCTCATTTTTCTGATGAAAAATACGGACTAAATTTATAACAAATAACTTGTTGGCAGGAGACAGTCCCAGTCTTTGAATAGGCATTTAATTGCTACACCAGTAGACATTTGAATGTATGCCAGGGATGACTGTGGCTCTGAGGGCCATTGTCCATCAGAGACAGACTCTCACCCATTCCCACAGAGCAGAGCTGATGCTATACTATAACACCTAACACCATGTACACAATGCGGCCAGTGGCGGCGGGGGAGGGGGAAGTACAGAAGGAAAATATGGATGTTCTTGTAAAAAAGTTATTAATAATTTCAAGATGGTGACAGAAGAACATTAAACCCAGCATAGAACAGAAGAACATTAAACCCAGCATAGAACTCTTCTGAACATGGAACCCTTCTGAGTGCGGAACTCCTTTGAGTCAACATGTTCATGAACCTGGCCCCGATGGCACCTATTCTTCCAGGTCAGATCACATATTCATATTTCTTTTAATTATTTACTAAGACTCTCACTGTATACCCACACCCTAGGCTGGTCCTCAGCAAATTTATAAACAAGCGACTTCTGTTTTCAACTCATTTCTTCCCCTCTTGCACTCCTTCCCGTGACTCCCCAAAGCTGGTTATTCTCTGCTATAGCCTAATTGCTCAGAATCTTTTAAAATCATATTCTCTAAAAGCCAAATCCTCCGGATAAGAACCCTGCTTAAATAATATCTTACCACTTCTTTAAAATTCAGCCAGATTGTACTTCATTTATTTCACATTAGAAAAAAAACCTTGATAATGCCAATGAACATGTCTTCCAGAATATATGCATTTACCCAATGACGGAATGTACCAAACTTAATGTGAGTAAGCTAAGATGCCAGAATTGTTAGTTCTCCCAAAATTCTCAACTGGGTGTTCTCCAGAATAAAGTGTTTGCTTACACTGCAACAGCTGCTGTCTATAGCCATGAATAACTGCATCTAACTATGTTACTAGGGTCTTTAATTTTAAATTGTCTTCTGCTGTAAGCACAAAGTTAGAAAGACAAGTAGGGAGACAATTTAGTTGTCACCAAGCAACAAAATAGCTGCTTTTTCATAAAGATGCTTTATTTTAAGAGAATGAAATTTTCCCTCAACAAGTAGTCATTGAGCACCTATTTTTTATACTACTCTTTACTTTTAAGAGCATGCACAAGATCCTACTCAACCCAAATAATGTGTAGACATGGTTTTGCCACACTAGTTGTCTCAGGCTGTGTTTCCCGAGTTGCAGTGTGAGATGGCAGTTAGCAGTCAGGTCATTCACTGTGGGGAGCCTTGATATCACCCTTATGCAATACAAGGGAAAGAAGCAGGATTGGGCAGAAAGAAAAACCAACTGGGATTCAGCAACAAATGACAACTTTAGCCAACCCCATGGGGTGTCTGGAACTAAACTGCCCAAAAGGCTAAACATTTAAACCCCCACGTCCATCCGTCATTGTATATGGGTCATCCCAGGAAGACACACTTCTTTTAAACTGAGGCGATCCTTGAACCGGCTAATATTGGTACCCACTGCAGCAGCTGATAAAATACTGAAAGACTTCTGGTCTGTTTGGAATATCCAGCCATTGCCCTGATGCTTGCACCACCCCAGCTTCTTGGAACCTCTAGGAATGATCTAACCCTGTGACTAGTGTCTGTTCTAGTACTAACAGTTGCCATGCTCCCACAATTGCTGGACATTTTGACTTTCACCTCTGGAACACTAAGAATATCAGCCTATATGGAAGGGTAGGTTCATGATAAGGGAAGTGAAGATCTCTATGTAGGGACAATTGACATAGACTAGAATGTTGGACTAAGAGTTTAAATTTGATATGGTTGTCTATAGGGAGATAAAAAGAATCCTATGCAGGAATCCTGCGACCTAAAGGTAAAGTTTATTAGAAATTGCTATTCTGGATAAATTAGAGAAGAGGAACTCATAGACAAGTGAGAAATATAAAATAAAAGGAAGGTGAGTATCTGTGAAAATAAAGAAGGCCTAAATCCAAAATACATTAAATTCAAGTTGTGGGGAATCCAAGTTTACCGGTTCACTTTTAGATGATGAACTCCAAACTTAATGATCCTTTTTTGCTTATAATTCATTGACTACATGAAGTACTCTGCATTTCTGTCTTAATTAGAAAGGTTGCTTAATTTAATTTGGGCCTGCTGACCAAAAGACTCCTGATGGGTGTTTAAACCCACAATGCACAGTGACAAATAGGTTATAGAGTTTTTCTCTAGAGTATTACAGGAGGAATTCATTAAAGAGCATTCAAAACATTTCATTAGACAAGAATTTCTGAATCACAACTAATTTGGAAATTTACATAAAATATCTCAGAAGATTTACAAGCTCAAATTTACATTTTATAATTAACTCTAGAGATGAATTTAAAAACCAGGTATCACTGTTAGGTTTCCTTATTCCTGGGAAGAAAACATTTAGAAGGAAGAGCAGAACTGATAGAAAACCAGAAAGCCTTAAACACTTTGCTGTCTCATTGGCCGACCCCATCACCAACATCACCAACTACGCTATTTATTTCTTCTTATATTCACCACAGCAGCCCTCCATAAATAATGGAGAAATATGGAGCTCAGGGACATGTTGAGGCATTATTTTCCAATGATCTCCAGTAAAATTTAGACATCATGTGAGGTAATGAGGGTAGTTACAGAGGGGCAAGAGGAGTCTATGGGGACAGATTCCAGGCTTCTACCCACTACTTCAAGTGCAGCTGCTCTACCTTAATCAATTTTTTTATACAGAGAACTTTTACCAAATATCTACCTTAAATAAAATAAAACTTTATTCTATTTTTTAAAAAATAAGTTTGCAGACTACTACATAAAGTGGCCCAAATTATAACTGCAAAAAAATTGCAAGTATGTGTCATTTTAAGATATCTAAGCATAAGTAAGTTGGATGAGTTGAGAACTCATAAATTGATAATTTATGGTAATTTAGACCTAAATCATAATCACCCTGACCTTTTCACTGTGTGGGGAAAAAATAGGTCAGCAATGAAAAGAACTGAGTACCCAAAAGGAACATTTTAAAGCCAATTTAAAGCCAACTTTGCATATAATTGGATTCTTACAAGTGATTCTGATTTAAGCAAGTGAGAATAACCCTTATTTATGCTTAATACAGAGAAATATTTGTAAAATTTGTTTATATAAAATTAAATGATGTATCCATAATATCTATTGCAGGAATTTTTTAATATAAATACCTTTTTTAATGTGAAAAGGTATGAAATCTCCTTTAATAACTTTTCACTTATCCATCATATAATATCAGATATACCTGTAATCCCAAGTATTGTCCTTTTGAGAAGGAAAAAAGTCAGATCAAATACATCATTAAGGAAAAACATGCACACTAAATAGACTGAACTCTACTGGGACAAAGACCATTATTTTGCATATTTTTTCATTCCCCAATTTCTGACAGGATTCTCAGAATTGTTTATTAGTTAATGAATAGCAAAATTATTTATTGGTTAAATTAGCAACTATGGAGCTGCCTAACGGTACAAAATAAATGAATAATTCACCAGAAACTAGCTCTAAGATATTAATTTTAATTACTTTGCAGCAACATAATTTAGTATCAAATGTTTAACAAGTACCCATTATAACTGCTAAACTGTGAAGTCACTATTATTTGTATCTGACCAGCTACACAAAACTCATCAGTTTTTCTCTTGACAAAAGGTAGTAAAAACCACAAACAATAAAGAAGACACTACTCATTAAATGTCGTGTTTACTAATCTAGCACCATAATTCCAGTCTTAGGACCTCCCGTGCAGTTGGAAAGGGAATATGGGAAGAGGTGAGTATGTGGGAAATGTAGGGTAGTTCTCAAATTGGGGCCCCATTTTGCTTGCAAAAAACACAGGTCTAGCAAAGAAGAGGAGCGCTGAGGCTGAAGATGAAAACAAAGGCTTTTGGTTCAGATGGTAAAGGAGGCCCTCAGGAGCAGTAGCATCAGTGTATCCCGAAGGCAGTGCTGGAGGCAGCCTCATGAACTAGGGGGTTTCTTCTTAGCATCCAAGTCCTTTTTAATTTCTTGAAGTTTTTTAGCCAGGTTTGGTATGTCCTAGTTCTGAGCCAGATGCATTCCAACCACTTTGCCCAATGTAAATCCAAGCAGGAACTGGAGCATGATGTCAGTGGGAAGGGCGAAGAGGGTGCGAAGGGTGGCTGCAGCCAGGATTTTTAACGTATTGAGAGTAACCTTCTTTCAATTCAGTCTGAATTAATTATATCTAAGTATATGCTAAATTCGTTAATAGAAAAAATATAGCTAGCTATAATGAAATGAAAAAGCAAAATTAGAACTTTCTGTTAATAGTGGCCATAATGAGTCAAGAATTCCTAAATCAAATCGAGAGATGGGAAAATAGTATTTTATTACATTAATGTTTGTTTTGTTTAGAAAATATCTGTTGAGTATGACAGAGTAAAATTAAACCCAGCAGCCAAGCTAAACCGTACAAACTTGAAGTTTCAAACTGCTTGAAAATTAGGATGTCTGCCCTTTCTGTCAAGTATTTTCTTGAGTTTTTTTTAACATTTTATTATTTTTGGTACATAATGGTCATGTGTATTTATAGGACACATATAATGTTTTGATACAGGCATACAATGTGTAACGATCAAATCAGGGTAATCGGGGGTGTTGATTACCTTACACATTTATCATTTCTTTGTATTAGGAACATTGTAACTCCACTCTTTTAGTTATTTTAAAATATACAATAAATTATTTTTAACTATTGTCACCCTATTACGCTACCAAATATTAGATCTTATTCATCCTCTCTAACTGTATTTTTGTACCCATCAACCACCCCCACTTTATGCCCTGCTCCCACTACCCTTCCTAGCCTCTAGTAATCAATATTCAACTCTCTATTCCCATGAGTTTAATTTTTTTAGTTCCAACATATGAATGAGAACATGTGATATTTGTATTTTTGTGGTTTGCTTAATTCATGTAATGTCCTCCAGTTCCACCTATGTCGTTGCAAATAACAGGATTTTAGTTCTTTTTATGGCTGAATAATATTCTATTGTGTATGTGTACCACATTTTCTTTACCCATTCATTAATTAATGGACCCTTAGGTTGACTCCATATCTTGGCTTTGTAAATTGTGCTGCAATAAACTTCGGAATGCAGATATGTCTTCAATATGCTGTTTTCCTTTCTTTGAGATGTGTTATCAACAGTGGAATTCAAAGTATTTTTCTTTGACATTGCATTATAAAGATGTCATCTGCAAAGAACGTTTTATGTTGGAAAAATAATCGTTGAATTTATCATTGTAAATAATTCCATTTTCTTAAAAACAAAGATCAATAAATGTGAACATAAATCTGATTAAACTTTTAGTTCTGACAATCAAGTTGCAGGATACAGAAAACAGAGAAACTTGCTCAATGACAGTACAGAGATGTGGGTAGCAAAATGCAGAATACAAGAAATGCTGTTAAACTTGGATTTTTTAGCAAATAAACTGCAAGGAAAACACAAAGAGGGAGAGTACATTGTAGATTAAAAATAAATAAGAGATGTAACAATGAATTACAATGTACATTTCTCCTTTGGATCTTTATTCAAAGAACCTGGACAAAATTTGACAATAGGGAACACTAAACACAGGTTAAATAAAAAGCCTTATACTCGGCTGGGCATCGTGGCTCACACCTGTAATCCCAGCACTTCGGGAGGCTGAGATAGGCAGATCACAAGGTCAGGAGTTTGAGACCAACCTAGCCAATATGGTGAAATTTCTACTCTACTAAAAATACAAAAATTAGCTGGGCATGGTGGCAGGCCCCTGTAGTCCCAGTTACTCAGGAGACTGAGGCAGGAGAATCGCTTGAACCCAGGAAGCAGAGAAGCGGAGGTTGCAGTGAGCCAAGATTATGCCACCTGTACTCCAGCCAGGGCGACACAGTGAAACTTCATCTCAAAAAAAAACAAAACAAAACAAAAAACGGAGTCTTGTATTTTAGAGAAATATTTATTAAAAATAACACAACCTGCTTAAAAATAATCTTGGGAAAGGAATGTGCATTGCTAAACAGGAAAGAAAATCAGACATGAGTTAGTAATTGTTGATGCTGAGCAATATGCACATAGAGTTTTATTATATTCTTTCTCTTCCCTTTTGTATTTAAAATTTTCCATAACAGAAAGTTAAAAATAAAATTAAAAAATAAGGCAAGTATTATTTGCCTAGGTAAAAATAAAATGATTAATATGTATGTATACTAAAAGAAGCTTTTACATGTTTTGTAAGCCGGGGAGCCAGGCTCATGCTGTCTTGACTTCCAATAGCTAGGCTACATTAGCTACAAATCACATCACCTCCTTAGCTGAAGCTGAAAAGCAAGTGGAACGTGGGAACTGCCGTAAGATCTGGATCGTCCCATCAACAAAGTGAGCAGCTGAAGGTACGTGATAGATAGACACGTGATGTTTAATGACAGTTCTCTGAACTGACCTGCAAAGGAGCCTCTGCACCTACGCTATGACTTCCGAAAACATTCCGTGGTTAGGCTCACTTTTTTGTCCCAGCTCAGTCACCTCCCAGTCATGCAAATTTTCTGTGAACAGGTCTCTAGTCCAACCATTTACATGTGGTCAGGAAGATAAGCCCAAATGATATCATAAAAATACACTAAAAACGACAATATTAGGTATGGCAGACAATGCCTCTTCAGTATCCATTTTCTCTTTCTTTCTTTGCAGCAGAATTCCAATAGGTCTAATCAAAAATATTCACTTTTCAAAAATCTCTCAGAGGAGGGTTGACCATATAACATAGTTCTGGCCAATGAAACTTCAATAAAGATTTTGAGAGGGAATTTCAGGAACACTTTTTTAGAAACAGCCAGCTCATTTTGTTCTTGTTTTTTTCTCATTCCACTGTATGAATTGCTGTTTCACACCCAGTGCTGCAGCTGCCATATTGCAACCATAGGAGCAAATCCTTCTAGCAAAAAATCCTTCTAGCAAAAATCAAATATGCTAGAAGGGATAGTTGGTGATGTCTATTCTTTCTGTATAAAAATATATGTTATCTGAATAGACATATCATTGAATAAGATATACAAATGGTCATTCAGCACATGAAAAGATGCTCAACATCACTAGTCATCAGGGAAATGCAAATTAAAACTATAATGAGATACCACTTTACAACCACTATGATGATCACAAAGACAATCACAGATTCTTGTGAGTATGTGAAGATATCGGAACCTTCATACACTGTTTGTGGGAATGCTCAAGATGACAGAGCAGAAAAAGAAAAGGAGCCTCATTCCCTAAACAGCTGAGCAGCCATTAACTGCTGCCTCCCAGACCAGAGGATATAAGAAAAATGAATTCCTATTTTATTAAACTACTGCAATGGGATTTCTGCTATACAGAGCTAAAAGTAATTCCTAAGTGACATATCAGATTATGAACTGTCCCAAATGTAAGAAATATGTTCCTTAATATTAAATTCCTTGGGGGGATGGGGGGAATAAAAGTCAAAAAAATTAAATATAAAATTGTTTTGTAATCAGAAGGCAAAATAATAAAATGAAAATATCCTGACAGTTCCTCATGTTGGTTGGTGTCGGTTAAAATGTTCTCAAGCAGATGATTGAGCACTGCAAATACTTCTGCTGTCATTAAGGTTCTGTGCACCTACGACTCAGTTTAACATACTACACCTTCACATTTATTTTTGCCACAAGAAAGCAAGATGTGTAATGTAGGCTTCTAATATGAGAAATGTACACATGCATACAATGTGAAAGAAACATACAGATGTAGTGATTTTAAATAAACAATGTATTGTAGCATCCTATTACCCACAATGTAAGTACTGCAAAAAGTCAGAATAAGGCAGCCCCACCACTAGTCCATATTCTGCCTTTGTGCACATTAGAAAATATTACCGGTTCCACAGAACATCTTACTGATATCTGTAGTGGGCATGTATATATAATAAATATGCTGGTATCGTATACAAAATTTATGATGTAAACAGCACCCCCTAGAGGTATGCAGTGTACAAGCAGCTCACTGTCAGCCCATCCTTGAATAGGGAGAAATCAGTGTGGGCTGAAGTCAGAGACGTCACATATGGAAATGGTTTTGGATAGAGCCCTCATTATATTAGAAAACAGGAAAAAAAATCAAATTTTGTGTTTTTATGGAATTTAGATTAAGTTTTCATTATTTTAAGAAACGCTATCTATCTACAGAAAACAGTGCCAGATCTTGGATATTGATCACTATATCGTACCATGTCTGCAAAGGTAAATAAGTTTTTTATCTTGCCATTAGAAGTCCATGGGAATGTATCTTCCCATGCCATAAAGGAACTCACACACAGAGTGACAGTAAATCAACTTTCAGAGGAACGTTTGCTGTGCTGGAGACTCACATTTGCAGGAGCATGCGCACATGCAGGAGAAGCATCGTAAGATTACCCTTCCCGCGATAGCCTACACACAGGTTTGGCTATTTGCACTGCCACCAGCATGCAGCTCTACCGGCCTTGATATCCAAACCAAGGGTTTTGTTTACAAAACAAATGAATATAACATTTAACCCCTTCCTGAACAAGACTATGACAAAGCAGAGGGACTTGATTTAACGTCTCATTCAAGTAAAATGCTCACTTGAGTACACTGGAAAAATACCTTTCAAAATATCTCCATGATTCTTTTCAGATTAAAAGTTGACATGATTTTATTCTTGGGTAAAGTTTGATGGAAATTTACTTCTAGACAATTGAAATCAAGAGTATCCAGCCTGTAATCCCAGTGCTTTGAAAGACTGAAGAAGAAGAATAGCTTAAGGCCAGGAGTTGGATGCTGCAGTGAGATATGTTTGCACCATTGCACTCCAGCCTAGGTGACAGAGTGAGGTTCTGTCTCAAAAAAAAAAAAAAAAAAAAAAAGAGAGAGAGAGAGAAGGGGTATTCATCTTGCTTGATGGGTCAGCCAATACCCTGAGAAGTTTCTAAGGAAAAAGAATTCTCAGCCCTCTTCAGTCCTTTGATCACTGGATGGAACCAAATCTGTCATTTTTAAAATAATTTTTCCATGATTCAGATATTAGCTAATGTGGCACTGGACTGATTAAGCTTTT